AAAAAAAAAAAACAAAAAAAAAAAAAAAAAAAAAAAGGACATTTATCATATTTTAAATAAAGCATGAGGAAGGCTTGCTACCTGAGGTTTGTTGCTCCAGGACCATGGTTGGCATGATTGACAGGTTTAGGACAGAGTACCAAGAGCTTTTGGAGAAAAAGTACTGACTTTAAGATATCGCAAATTAAACTGTGCTGGAAAGCACTCTGAAGATTTGAAAATGTTTCAGCATCTAAACACACCGGAAAATAGAATGTTAGCCACAAGAAACCCAGGCAGCTCAGACATTTGTAGACAGGCCCTGGTAGCTGTGTGAACTTTGGCAAGTCAATTGACTTCTCTGGTCTCCATTTTAGTCTATACAATGGACCTGATAATTGTCTCTAATGTTCACATGTCCTATGAAGGTTGGGTGTGTTAATACGCATACACCACTTAGAAACCTTATGAGTACTTCATAAACATGCATTATTTCAGATCCGCCAGGCATGTGGTTAGCGATTTTCACTGAATAATAGAATAATTTGGGGGTATGAAGACTTCTGGATTTACAAAAACAAACAAACAACAACAACAAAAACCTGTTTTGTCTTCCTCCAGTGCTTGGAGGAAGTTAAAGGCAGGGTGCCTGTGATTCGGGCTCCCTAAGCTCTCTCCTGATGGTCATCTTTTCCCAGGAACCAGCCCACTTTGACCACTTCCGGGAGTGGCCCGATGGCTATGTGCGCTTCATCTACAGCAGCCAGGAGAAGAAGGCTCAGCGCCACCTGAGTGGCTGGGCCATGCGCAACACCAACAACCACAATGGCCACATCCTCAAGAAGTCCTGCCTGGGCGTGGTGGTGTGCGCACGCGCCTGCGCCCTGCAGGATGGCTCGCATCTGCAGCTGCGGCCAGCCATCTGCGACAAGGCCCGGCTGAAGCAGCAGCGTGAGGGCGGGAAGGGGCAGGAAGGGTGGCTTTGGAGCCCTGGGTTCTCTGTTCCCCGTTCATGTCACCTCGCTTCCTTCAGAAGGTTCTGGGTTGCGGGTTGAGCTTAACATTTCTCCCTCTGGGATTTGCAGAGAAAGCTTGTCCCAACTGTCACTCAGCTTTGGAGCTGGTTCCTTGCCGAGGGCACAGTGGATACCCAGTCACCAACTTCTGGCGACTTGATGGCAACGCAATATTTTT